ATATTTTAGATAGGAGGGCTGGGGAAAACCTATATGATTAAGTGATATTACAGCATAGTCAAGCATTTATTTGAACACCTGAAAAACAGTATTTTCAAATATCTTGCTAACCATGATGTTTTCATACCATCATTTGCTATTATTTCAAGGCACTCTTAGGGTGAGGCTCATCCTTAAGAATAGGGTATGTGAATCTATATTTCAAATAATCTTGATAATTTCAAACAGTCTTCTTAGATCTGATTAGATTCTCATTGTTTCTACATTGCACTGTAATGTGATTGATGAAATAATTCTAGGAGTAAAGGTCATTAGCTGTGTCATTTTCTTGTTGTTCACTTGCTACTAGTACTATTCTTGATATGTTTTTCATGGCAGGATCTTCTTAAAAGTTTTGTTCATGTTTTAAAGATTTAATTAAAACTTGATAATAGAATCTGTAAATCCACTTAAATGTGCAAACATAAACTATAATATGTTTATTATATAATAATCAAGAAAGGTTGCCTCTGTTATACCTTCTACACTGTGTAACTCACACTCTTCGTAGGATGCTTCAGTGTACTGTGATATGTAATTGACAGCTGGCCCAAGCACAGATGCCAGTGCCAATTCATATATTAAATAGCAGTAGTTTTCCCATTTTATTTAGATAAAATAAATATAAATAATATCTAATATTTTCTTTCTACGCCCCCAAAGTATCATCTTCAAGGTGAACCCTAAAATATAAAAATCTTCACTGCGCTAGCCTTTAGAAGAACAGGCTTAGAAAAGTCCAGGTTAAAAGACAGCTGATGAACTCACTGAGAAAGGGTTCTGGAAGGTTCTTAAAAATGAGACTGCAAATGACCTTAGTGAGGAAGAAAAGGCTCCTGAGAGAAAACACTTAAGGCAAAGGGATCTCACAGATCAGACCTTTAAAAGGTTATGTTTATAATACATTAAATAAAACAACCATTTTAATTAAAAATATATTTACATATGCATAGCTTGCTTAGTGAAAAAGTACAGGAGAGATACCAAAATACTAAGGTGATTTCAGCAGTGATTTGTTTTTTCCTTTTTTGCTTCTTTATATATTCTAGTTTTCTATATTACACATGCATTATTTGTGTAATAAAGGTTTAAAGATTAAATAAAGCACATGTGCAAAGTTGGAAGGTCATAAAACCAACTAAAGAATAGAGTAAATCTTTAAAAATAGCATTAGGCTAAACTCAGAATGAGCAAAGAAAAGTGATAAAAAATATTAAGGATACACAAAGAGATATTTAAAGCTATGTTTAGAGCAAGAATGAAGATATCTATCCTTGGGGTGGAGAGAAAGCAGAGATAAATAAGATAGTGAGAGAGCATCCAGTTGTGCCTTCTGAACTCACATCTCTTAGGCTGACTCCATGTTACTTACAGGATGGCAAGTTCTCAGTAAAATTAGGAAATCATGAAAAATAGGAGACTGCAGGACACTTGAGATGGATGTATGTCTTGACTTTCAAAAAAGGAAGAAAAGCTAACTTCCAGAAATACAATTTCAGAGTCTGATTGCTCAATAAAGCTCCAGAGTGATTTCACATGGTGATTCCCAAGCCTATCAGACTCAAGTCCTCTACATATAATACGTATTTTATAATGCTTCCATTACTATTCAGAAATAAAATTGACAATGACCTCTTTACCAATTAAAAAAAAAAATGGATATAGTGCCTTTATTGTTATATAAAAGGAGAAAGTAAAGGAATTTAAAATATGTAAAATAAAATATATGGTATCTATCTTAGTAAGTAAATATGGTGCACAACCACACCATAAAACCAAACCTGTTGATGTCAAGCTGATTCAGACTCACAGTGACCCTACAGGACAGAGGAGAACTGCCCGCATAGAATTTTCAAGGCTGTAATCTTTACAGAAGCAGACTGCCACATCTTTCTCCCGCAGAGTGACTGGTGGATTCAAACCATCGACCTTTCGGTTAGCAGCTGAGCACTTAGCCACTGTGCCACTAGGGCTCCTTAATAAAATATATATCTTAGTATGTAAATGTGGGACACGACCACACCATAAAAGATAATAAATAGATGCTTGCCTCTACTTATAACGAATCAGCTGTACTTAAGATACATATTGACAATTTAAAAAAGGTTTTAATAAATGTATTTATACCGATGTATGTATAATCACTATGAATGCAATAGCTACAAATGGAGACATAGGTGGGGACCACAAATACCACAAGCAGAGCTGCTGACATGAGTTTTCAAAATGAGGAACAAGTCTTAGTAAAATTCTGAACAAAACAAAGTACAATCCTCTCTCTACTTACATGGTAGCTGCATTACTGGAATCAGTGTATATTGAAACTATGCTACAAATAGTTTGGGTTTATAAGTAAATCAGAGTTAGGTTCTATGCTCAGATAATCATAAACAGGTTTTACTGCTACATGAATGGGAGATCTGAAAGTCATTCACGTTGCAGAGCAAGTCTTTTTGCATAGTACTGGCCTGTACATAGTAGGATTTTTAGCATCCCTGAACCCTGCTCTTCCTATCACTGCAATTTAGGATTGTACCCCTCTACCTCTGTGGCGTCTCTAGGTGGTGTAAGTGATTAACACAGCCGGCTGCTAACCAAAAGTTTAGAGGTTTGAATCTGCCCAGAGGTGCTCTGGAAGAAAGGCCTGCAATCTGCTTCTGAAAAACCAGCCATTGAAAACCCTACCGACACACATGGGGTCACCACAGGTCAAACCATGGGTCAAAACTGACTCGACAGCAACTGGTTTACTTTTGTCGTAAACATAAAATTCCTCCAAGTTTCCAAAAATGTCCCTAGCTCACAACATTATTCCTGTTGAGAATTACTGGTCCCTTAGTACAGGATAAGAAGCCCTGGTGGTGCAGTGGTTAAGCACTCGGCTGCTAACCACTGGAACCCACCAGCTGCTCCAGGGGAGAAGGATGCAGCAGCTTGCTCCCTTGGAAACTGTTTGGGGCAGTTCTACTCTGTCCTATAGGGTCGCTATGAGTCAGAACTGACTCGACCGCCAATGATTTGTTCTTTTTTTTCTTTTAGCATAGGATATAGCATGGTGCATTCATCACAGTGCCTTGTACGTAAGACTAGGAAACATCTTCTTAAAGTCTGCTTGTTATCATCTTGTCTTGGAAGGTAGAGAAAGCAGGAATTAGAACACCATACTATTTATAGAATATGCTCGTGTTTACATACCGAAAACAAATCTAAAATATAAATTAACATTGGTGAGTAAAATCTGACCATAAAAAATGTTTGGATTCTTGTATTTAACTTTACTTGATTAAAAATTTTAAGCAGATGAGCTAATTACAAAGAGGCCCCTAGTTCTCTGACAAGGAGCCCTGGTGGGTGGTGGTTAAGGCTTGGCTGCTAACTGAATGTCAGTGGTTCAAACCCAACTGCCACCCTGCAGCAGAAAGATGTGGCAGTCTGTTTCTGTAAAGATTACAGCCTTGAAAACCCTATGGGGCAGTTCTACTCTGTCCTACAAGGTTGCTATGAGTCAGGATGGATTCTCTGATGAGGTCTTAGAATATAAGCCAAAGAGATAAGTTCCTGCTTTTCCTGTAAAAACCTTGGGGAAAATCAGAAGCTTGCTCTGATAAAATGATGGGGGGATGGGGAGACTGAAATATCTGAGCTCACCTCCCAGACTGGCATTCTAAATTCACAGTTTAGATGATGCTTTAAGATTCTACTTCTGATCTCATATAGTATACCCAACAGGTCAGGAACTGTAACCACATCTCTCAGGAGAGAATGCTTGCTTTTTTATGAGTAGCCTGCCCGGGAGTGGAAGAAAGGATGGCACTGGAGTTGAAGCCACTTTATTTCTTATTTGTGCAGAGTTTTCAATTGAATCCAACTGCATGGGTGGATTACAGAAGGTTTCTGATAAATTTACCCTTCTAGTTTAGGAGTCTTGGTGGTGTAGTGGTTAAGAGCTCAGCTGCTAACCAAAAGGTCAGTGGTTCAAATCCACCAGCCACTCCTTGGAAATCCTCTGGGGGCAGTTCTACCCTGTCCTATAGGGTTGCGATGAGTCACAACCGGCTCGATGGCACCTAACAACAACAATTTAGGAGACACCCTGCAACAGGAAGGCATTTCCTGGTTCACAAGACACATTATTTAGTCCTTAAAATTATTCAGTATTAACAGAAATAATTCCACGATGAACAAAATACCAGAATGTTAAATAAAGACAGGATCAGTAGTAATGGATTTTTCCTTTTGCCTCAGACTCCAATAAAGGTTTGGGACTGGCATATTGGCCGCAGTGTGGTGGTGTCCACCAAGCGGGTGAGGCTGCTGTTGATCCTGTCTTTAAGATTTTGGTAATTTTTTGCAGTCATGGATTTCTGCATTAATTTTGATTTTTTAAAATACTGTTTATCTTGATTACTAAATTTTTTGGTGCCCCCTTAAAATTTTGTGCAGCAGTGAGTCACTTGCCTTAACCTAGTCTAAGCCGTGGGCTTCAGTAGGTTCTCAAGAATAAGGAGAACTCCTTCTCACTGACTAGGTACCAGAGTACTGTGAGGCGCCAATGAATCCATATTTGTGCTTAAAAGTACTATTTCAACAAACATTTAAGTAACTTAAAGCACCTCTTTACAGCAGACTGCTTAATGGCATCTCCCTCAATCCTGAGGCCAACGTCTCTCCCTCTGAGCCTGGCACAAGTACACCAAGGTGTAAATCCTGCTGCAGTGGAGAAATTTAGAGAAAAGGTGGATTCCTCTTTATCAGGAATGGTTACACGGAGGCCCTCTTAGCTTCGGGAAAGCAGAGCCTCTTGGATTAGTTAAAAAACTGAATTTTCAAAGGTGAAGAAGGAAACGCATCACTAACAGACATGGCCTTGGCGCCCGCAATCGCCTCCCCCCCAGCCCATCCGTTCTCTGGAAAGCTGACGGTGAGCGCGGAGAGGTTGGCGCTCGGCATCCTGTACGCACCTTGCTCACGGGGAATCCGCACCAGACAATCTATCATGCCTTTGTACTGCGCCTCGGGACTGATCTGCTTGGACGACGCCTGGACCTGCAGCAGCAGCTTCACACGCTCGATGGGGGCCACTGCCGTCTTGGACACTGCCGCCGCGACACCGCCCGCAAGGAGGTCCTTCCCAAAAGACATGGCGTCAAACAGCCGCTTGTCCCCCTTCTTCTCCTGCTTCTTCTTCCCAGACTCACGCTGCATAGTGGGGCGATGGATTTAAAAATGGACAGCAGCAGCTCAAAACGTGGCCGCGATAGGCGACGAAGGACACCAGAAAAACCGCTCCACCGTCGTACTGGCGGGAACGCAGCGCTCAGGATGCCGGGAGACCAGCGCGCAAGGGCAGGAAAGTGGGGCTGGGCGAGCTGCGCAGGCACCTCCAACGGCCTCCCAACCCGGCGTCCGGCACGTGACTCGCGGCACGTGGTAATCCTCCTCAGGTTTTGGAGGCCCTGGGGACTTCAGAGCAGCGAGCAAGGTCGGGAGGCTGTGGGTTCTGACCCAGGACAACCGGTAATGTATGAGAAAATTTAGCAGCAGAAACTAGGACACAATAATGGCATTAAACCAACAGTATGGGATTAACCGAGTTTAGCTTTACTGTCCAGCGCGTCCTCTCTACTTTCCTTTAGAAATTGGTTTAATCTGAGCCGTAATTTATCAGAGATTGTTTGTCTAGTCGCTTTTTCACTGTCTGGTTTTGCCGATTGCACCCCCATAGCATAATTTAACATGTTCCTCTTTTTCCTGTACTTTACTTAAATTGGTAATTCTATCTAGAGCAGTGGTTGTCAGTCCAGACTGCACATTCAAAGAGGGGGAGGGTGGAATGGTGGTTTGTTTTTTAAACGGATGCTTGGGTGTAGGGTCTAACCCAGTTAAATTAGGATCTTTGGAAATGGGGCCTGGCAGTCGTGTTTAAGTGACCCAGGTAATTCTAATGTGTGGGATTGAAAACTAATAACCTAGAGCAGTGGTTCTCGAACTTTTTGGTTGTAGGACCCCTTTTCATGCTTAAAAATTAATTGAAGATCACAACGCAGTTTATGTTTTGTGTTTATATATCACAGTGTTATCTATATATCAGAAATTTACTACTCTGCTATGTCGGTGACAATCAGCAAAAGCAGGTAGTAAAGTAACTTGACAAATGACCCCTGCTAACTTTACCATATCAGAAATTAAAACAAAAATTTAAAATATTAATTTGTTAAAAAAATTATAAACTCATTACATGGTAACATAAATATTTTTGATAAAAATAACTTTCTCAACATAAAATGGTGAGAAGAGTAGCATTGTTTTGTATTTTTGAAAATTTCTAAAGTGTCTAGCTTAACAAAAAACAGCTAGATTCAAAAACTGCCTTTGCATTCAGTCTGTTGGAAAATCAATTGTCAGGCAGTGTCTGCTTCAGCCTCCATACACTCATGCAAGAATGAGAGTGAAAATGGCAAATGTCTTCATATCACTAAGAAAATAGTTTTTGAGTATTGGATGGATAGTCTTTTAAAGGAATTCCCTGAAAGGGTCTCAGGGACATCTAGGGGTACCGCAGACCACACTTTGAAAAGTCACCTGCAGGCTTATAAGATTCATGTTTGATTTCTTTTGACAAGAATACTCAGTAGATGTACATCTGTCCTGCACATAATGTCTATTTTTTTCCACCCTGGTTTTTTTGACAATGTATCTTGGAAATCCCTGTATAAAAAAACCAAACTGGTTGCCATCAAGTCGATTCTAACTCATGATGACCCCATGTATGCAGAGTAGAACTGCGCCATAGGGTTTTCAAGGCTGTGACCTTTTGGAAGCAGATTGCCAGGTGTGCCTCTGGGTGGGTTCAAATCACAAACTTTTTGGTTAGTAGCCAGGACTTAACAATTTTCACCACTCAGACTCCTGAACCCTCTGTGGTAGCATATATTTCTGGTTCCTTTTTAGTTTGATGGTTTAAATAAATGGAGACTCCCATCTTATCTTACTTTGTAGGATCTACAGAGTATCAGCCTTTATGAGATGAGTTAGTGGCTTTTTTGAAATTTAAGGTTCACATTTTCTCCTTATTAAGAAACACTTAGGTGAGACCAGGAATCTTATACTTGATTGTTGTTGTTGTTAGGTGCCGTTGAGTCGGTTCCGACTCATAGCAACCCCCAGTTCTGCACCATCCTCACAATCGTTACGCTTGAGCCTACTGTTGCAGCCACTGTGTCAATCCATCTTGTCAAGGGTCTTCCTTTTTTTTTTTTTAAGGTCTGGCCTAAATGTTTTTTTAGTAGTGATAAATAATATTAGAAGTGTTACAATACACTTTTAATAAGGAGTAAATGTGAACCTTAAGTATTTTGATTACTTCACATACAACCAGTTCCTAAGTCCTACTGGTTCTGTGTTTGGTGCTACTTTCCACTGCATAGCATCTTATTTGACTCCTAACTGGTTTTTCAGCCTGTCTCCATTTTACATGCTGCTGCCAGATAAATCTTTTTGAAGAATCATATTAGTCATTATTCCTAGGCTTAAAAAACTTGAAGTCTTCTACCGGCCCGACAGAGACTGGAGAAACCCCAAGAGTATGGCCCCTGGATACCCTTTTAGCTCCGTAATGAAGTCACTACTAGGTTCATCTTTCAGCCAAAGATTAGACAGGCCCATAAAACAAAATGAGACTAAAGGGGCACAACAGCCCAGGGACAAGGACTAGAAGGCAGGAGGGGACAGGAAAGCTGTTAATAGGGAACCCAAGGTCGAGAAGGGAGAATGTTGACATGTCATGGGGTTAACCATTGTCATAAAACAATATGTGTACTGTTTAATGAGAAACTAGTTCTGTAAACCATCTAAAGTAAAAAAAATAAAAAAAACCCACAATACTTGGAAGTCTCCTCATTGCATTGACTTCAAAATCCTTAGCAAAATCCATTGCAAGTTCAAGAAATGATCAGCTTTTATCTTCAAAAACCTGAAAAATCAAAGGCTTCAGTCCCCTTTAAGGGGGTTTGAAGCATTAACAAGCACACAGGGAGAAATTTAAAGAGGGAATTACTTGAATCATACTCCAAGCAAGACTCTTTTTTAAGGTGCCAAGAAAGGTCAAAAGGAACCACCTCTTCTCTTGGGGGACCGTAAGTATCTCTGAAAACAGAAAAACAGATGTCCTCCTGTTCCCCCAGGAAAATTTTATCTTCCATCTCCTTAAGGATAATTCACGCAAATAATTGACAGTGTTCATAGCATATCCTTTCCTGACAACCTCAAGCTCATTTCTGTCATGTATTCATTTATGGAAGACAGACAAAAGCGAAAGTAACTACTTTGAAATGCAGTTTTTAAACGTTATTGAGAGCTCTGAATTACCTCCTTTCAATAGATGGGAGTGGAAAACATTTCATCTGCTGCATTGTATTTATTTACTAATGCAGAGAAGAAAAAGAGATTCTGGTGATTTATATGTTGATAATGCAAGTACAGAGTCTCAGGGCCTTTATACTGATAACTCTACTTTTCTTAGAAGTCAGCATGGTTAGCTCCCTCACTTACCTCAGTTCTGGGGTCACCTCAGCGAGCTCTTCCCTGGCCACCCTGCCTAAAATGTCATACTACCTCCCACACTTCACATCCTCTTTTCTTCAATTTTTTTCCTGTTACCATTTATCAACACGCTTTACTTATTTATCTTGTTTGTGGTCTGTCCGGGAACAGGAATGTGAGTTCCTTGAGGGCAGGGATTTTTTTTAGCTGTTTTGTTCACTGCTGTATTCCTGGTACCCAGAACAGTGCTTGGCACAGAGTAGAAATTATGAATGCATGAAAAGGAAACACAACTACAAACAAACTTCCAAACCATCTTTATTAAAAGTTATCTATCTATACAGTATAAAAATAGCTTCAATTATATAGAATATAGAAATACAACTCTAAAATTACTTCACACAATTTAGTGTATGGATTAAAGTTTTAATAACATTTAATAATTTATTTAAAATACTCAAAGTATAAATCCTAGTTTAATGCTAAATCACTTTTCTTCTTTCCAACGTTTTGTTCAGTAGCAGGTATGTTCAGCTAACCCCTTGGTTTTCAACCAATGGATATTTAATTAAAAAAATAATGGTAGTAGTAGCTAATACTTTAATAGCACTTAGTACATGCCAGGCGCTATTTAGAGGGAACCCACACGTATAACAAGTAACTATTCACAATATTATTTTCAGGAATGTTCAAAGAAGACAAATCTAGTAAATTAGTTTCATTATCTTTTCCCCCAAATACAGGCATTGCATATTTACTACCTTGCCAGAATGCATTATCATCAACAGTCCAGTCCCTTGGCACATAAATAAGAAACATCTCTTGCTAGGTACAGCTCTGTAACCTCACAAAAGTAAGCTAAAGACAGGAGGGAGAGGGAGAGAGAAACTCTAAAATGTAATCTTTTGGGTGTGTTTTTGGGGCTAAAATATATGATGGTAATAAGGCAGTACTTAGTATTTTTTAAAATGTTAGTTATATCGTCTTTCATATTATAGCCTTTAGGGAAACGGATCATTTACTGGACGCTAAGAAAATCCAACTTAAGAATGTTTATCTGCTACAGCATGCCTCTGGAGTATCTGCACTGTCACTTAGTCCCTCTTTGTTTAATAAAGCGAGAGAAAGGCACTTATTGTTCAATAATTAGATCTACTTTCAGATGTGAATCTGAACATATTTGGAAAAGCAGGAAGCTAAGTTAACTTACAGTACCTACTTCAGTAACCATTTAGAGATGAAAATCAAGATAATGTTTGGTTTTAATAAAAAAGATGTCTCTGCAGTATGAACATTATAGTACGCAACTACAATCTACTGAATGATTTTCCCTTTTATAAGATCAGTGGTCTGTTTTGTCTTTTATTTCTTTTTTCCTGTTTACTTGAGTGGAGGTCTTATTCTTTGACACCAGGAAAAGTTTGACAGACCAAAATTTCATTAAATGAAACAAAAAAAGTCCCTTGTGATAAAATCCCAAGTCTTAGTTCAGTCTGTCTGAAAATCTGAGGGGACTCAATAGCTGCGTTTATTAATAATTCTCAGTATTAAAAACAGCTCATAGTCTTTTGGGGACATACCCAGAAATTTAAGATGCTTAATTAAATACTTAAAGTGTCTTAACGTGTATATATATACACAAGCAGTCCTAAGACAGTAGTAAAGAGTCTACCATTTGACTCAATACTGTGATCTTAAGGGAGGAATATTTCAAGCCATTTTTTATAACACTTCAAGAACCCAGGTTTCTTGCCCTGATTCCAGTGCCAAAATTAAGGCCCACGGGTCACTAATGGGCCAAGTATGCAGAGGTTTACATTTAAACACCTGGGTAAAAACTTTTAAGATGATGACAACAGAGATAGTGTTTCTTCTAAGACCAAATGACTAATTGTGCACCCACTATATTTTGCATTTAGTTCTCACCAAGCTTGAGGGTCTTCGTTTGAGGCAATGGAAATGCAGACACTGCTTCAGATGTACTAGTGTAACCTGAATTCCAAAACTTAAGTGCTAAAGAAGAAACAACCCAGTATTGTAAATTCTCTGGGGCATCTGAGCCTCCAGGAGGATCGATTCGGTAAATGTCAATTAAAAATGCAGTATTTGTTATGGTTTTCTTTTCTCCCAATCCACCAAATTCTCACAGCCTAAGAAAATTCTCATCCCATTAGTTTCCTCTCCCTATTAAAGGTCAAGTAAACTATTACTCATTAAAGTGTTCCTCCTTTGGGAAAACCTAAGACATAATAATCCACACTTGTGAGACAAAAGTTAGGATTTTACAAAAAAGTCGCCATACTTTTAAGTGTTTTTAACATGATGTGGTTTTAAAAAAAAGAGTTCCATACAATTTTCCTGAAATTCATCAACTGTATAAAATGTATATCGTGCACCTGAATGTATTTCAACAAAAAGAATGACAATGAAATTCATGGACAGATAGTTTAATAAATATATCCTAGTCAAAATAGAGTTTACCTAAAAGAGTAAAGGAAGTCAAATAAATAAAACAGAGTTTAATTTTTATCCCCTCCATCTCCTGTGAGGTATCTAAAATACTAAGAAAAAGTATTTGATCTGGTAAGGAATCAGTACTTGGACATTATAAATTTAGATACTGACCAAGAGAAGAAAGAGGCTTTAGAAACCTCAATGCAACCATCTCATTTTGTATACGAAATCTCTGAGCTCAGGGAAGTAAAGTCTTGCTTATGGCAAGAACCTGCTCACCTCCTCCCAGTTCCATGATTCTCTCACCAGATAACAATATTAGTCTTGAGAAAAAATATACAATGAATTGAGTATTTTTCCAAGATAAGTATTTCCTACATTTTATATAAAACATTTCACATTATTTCAAACTAGTCAATAAATTAATGTGACGTACCAGAATGGCAATACTAAGTTAACAGTCCCTTCTTCATATATTTTTGATCATGTATCTTTTCAAAAGTCTCACAATACTACGTAAGATTTAGTCCATCAAACTCAAACAGCATTTCATCTTAATTTTTTGTCAGTATTGTGTCCAATACTGTATAATGAAAAGAAGCTAAAACTTATCCATTTTGTGTATCGATTTCAGTAATTATAAAACTGTTTGATGCTCCATTTTCAGTGTTGCTCTGAATCAAGAAAGCACAATTATAAGGTTAATCCAAAGAATAATTTAAAAGCCAGTTCGACGGCAATTTCTGTGACTGAATCATGAAAACAGACGTAAAGTTCTTGAGGTCTGGGATGAAGAAAGAGTCTCCTGTAGAGGAAAAGATCATACTCATCTTAGACATCAAACAACAATAACAAAACCCTTCAATTTATTTTATTTTGCTTCTGAAAGAATCAGTAGTAAATTTAAAAACCACTAATCTAAATCCGTAGTAGGGAGAATACAGCTAGATTTATTTCTAAATGAATTAATATATGCCTTAAACCTGTTACCAACTCACAGCGACCCTGTAGGACAGAGAAGAACTGCCCCATAGGGTTTCCAGGGAGTGGCTGGTAGATTAAAACTGTCGAACTTTTGGTTAGCAGCCAAGCTCTTAACCACTGTGCCATCAGGGCTCCAATATATACTTAGGTGAATTATTTTATATTGTTCCACCCATCCACGACCATATTTTGCCAAGCACAGCTCCATTCATTAAACTGATACATATTTATCAAGTGCCAGGTGCTGTTGCAGGTACCGGAGTGGACAAGACAGGTATGATTCCTGACCTCATGAAGCTGATATTCTAGTGAGGGAGGAAAGACAATAAACAAAATAAACACAAAGGGGGGATATAATGAAGAATAACTAGGTAGACACTTTAATGGAGGGAAAGAAATTGTTACGGATTGAATTATGTCCCCCCAAAACGTGTGTCAACTTGGCTAGGCTATGATGCCCAGTATTGTGTGGTTGCGTACCATTTTGTCATTTGATGTGATTTTCCTGGTGGTGTAAATCCTACCTATGGGATGTTAATGAGGCAGGATTAGAGGCAGTTATGTTAATGAGGCAGGACTCAATCTACAAGATTAGGTTGTATTTTGAGTCAATCTCTTTTGGGACATAAAAAAGAAAAGTGAGCAGGAAGAGACAGAGACCTCATTACCACCAAGCAAGAAGAGCCAGGAGTGCGTGTCCTTTGGATGCAGGGTCCCTGCACTGAGAAGCTCCTAGACCAGGGGAAGATTGATGACAAGGATCTTCCCCCAGAGCTGACAGAGAAAGCCTTCCCCTGGAGTTGATGCCCTGAATTTGGACTTCTAGCCTCCTAGACTGTGAGAGAATAAATTTTTTCTTTGTTAAGCCATCCACTTGTGATATTTCTGTTATAGCAGCACTAGATGACTAAGACAGTTTATGGATCCTCTGGTTTGAATATCAAGGAGCCAGACACGCACAGGTTAAGTGGTAGAACATCCCACACAGAAGGAATAGCAGAAACGATTCTGTTGATGCCAGTGTAGCTGGCAGACAGTGAATGGAGGAGGAGAGAAAGAGGAGATGGAAAAGAGAGGTGAACAGGGCCATATCAGGCAGGACCTTGTAGTTCAGGGGAAGGAGGAAAGGAAGGGAGGAAAGAGAGAGGAAAGGAAGGAAATAGTAATATTGTAAGAATCTTTTTAGTGTAAACCAATATAATTTTGTAACGTAACTGAATAACTTTTTTTTTAAGTAGAAACATAAGAGGGGTTTAAAGGAGATATTTAGTAAATAAAATTCTTAAATTTATTAAAATATTATAGTTAATTCCATGCCTACATTTTAAAACATTTGTTTCCTTCACCACTTTTATAACATTTTACTTCAGTTTTAAAAATACTTTTTTCTCACTTACCCTACTACCCAGTAAGCCATAACTGGTGGTGCTTTTTTCTGATCAGTCCAGTTTTCAGGTGAGCATTCAAACAACACACCATGTTCTTTCACAGGGTTAAGAGAAGACACTGAATTTGTAGAATCTGAATGATGTCCACCATTTAGCACTTTCTTTTTCTGTAAATTAACAGGTATTATTAGTATTAAAGGAACCCTGGTGTCACAGTGGTTAAAGCACTCAGCTGCTAACCAAAATGGTTGGCGGTTGGAACCCACCACGGCTGTGTAGGATAAAGACATGGCGGTCTGCTTCTATAAAGATTTACAGCCTTGACCCTATGGGGCAGTTCTACTCTGTTCTGTACGGTTGCTATGAGTAGAAATCAATTCAGTGACAGTGGGTTTGCTCTGATATTAGTATTAAGAGAGATTAATAGTATTATTTTAAAATATTTTCACATTGAATTGGCTAATCCTGATATCTATATCCCTGCACCAAAATTCTTCTTACCTACAGGAAGATTGCTACCCTCCCTCAATACTGGGTTTAAATTCCAACTCGTAGAACAGACTTCATGGATAAAGTGTCCCTTGATCCACCCAGGGAACACTTTGTTCACAGCCCTACGTTCGTAACAGCCCTACGTTCGTATTTACATTATATTAGTAGTTTATGAACTTTTTCCAGGGCAGACACAATGTGCTATTCATCTTTGTATTTTTTGAAAAGAGCAGTGCCAGGCACATCATGTTGTTAGATGCCATCAGGTCGGCCCCTGACTTATGGTAACCCATGCATAACTGAATGAAATGCTGCTCCGTCCTGCACCATCCCCACTATCAGTTGTGGACTAAACCATTGTAATTCATAGGGTTTTCATTGGCTGATTTTCAAAAGTAGATTGCCAGGCCTTTCTTCCTTGTCTGTCTTAGTCTAGAATCTCATTGAAGCCCATTCAGCATCACAGCAACACACAAGCCTCTGCTGACAGACAGGTGGTGGCTGCACATGAGGTACGCTGGCCGGGAATTGAACCTGGGTCTTCCACATGGAAGGTAAGAATTCTACCACTAAACCACCACTGCATAGAAGGTGCTTAATAAATGTGTACTGAATGAATGGATGGTTCTGCAATATACTTTATACACATATATTTAAAGCATTACTGTCTCCCTGTGATGCACAGGAGCCCTGATGGCACAGTGGTTAAGAGCTATGGCTGCTCACCAAAACGTCAGCAGTTCGAATTTACCACCCGCCCCCTGGAAACCCTGCGGGGCAGTTCTACTCTGTCTTGTAGAGTCACTATGAGTTGGAATCAGCTCAACAGCAACAAGTTTTACAATGCAAAATCTCTGCATTTCCCATTGATTAAACCATAGCAAAACAATGACTCATTTGGAAAAACAGACTTTTTACAAGGCTCAGGCCAAAACAGTACAGTAATCCTTAACTCTTCCCTTTTTTCATAACCCATATCTCATCCATCAACAAATCCTTTTGGTTTATCCACCAAAATATATCCAGAATCCACTATCATCTCTTGTTTTGAGAATTTCAATAGCCTCCTAACTGGTCCCTGCCTCCACCCTTGGCTACCCTAAAGCCTGTGATCTTTTCTTTTCAAAAACTAAGAAAGATCATGTTCCTTCCTTTGCTCAGAACTGTTCAAGAACCTCCTATCTGCTTCAGAACAAAGCCCAAAGTCCTTACTGTGGCCTGTCAGGCCATGGCATGATCTGGTCCTGCTACTTTTGCAATCTCATCATCTCTGACCACTTTCCTCCCCACTCAGTCCACTCCAGTGGTCCTCCAGACTCTAGGACTTTGAACTTGCTCTTCCCCCTATCTGGAGGGCATGACTTCCAGACAGACAGCCTGCCTCCAGATAGCCTCGCTTCATTCAGGTCTCTGTTACTTGACATGATCAGAGGAATCTTTTTGTCACCCTCACCCTGTTTTTTTATTCCTCTTGACACTTATCCTACCTGATACATTGGACTATTTGCTAATTCATTCGTCTCCCTCCCCTCCACTAGAATACAGAGCCCCGGTAGTGCAATGGTTAAGAGCTCGGCTGCTAACCAAAAGGTGGGCAGTTTGAATCCACCAGCTGCTCCTTGGAAACCCTATAGGGCAGTTCTCCTCTGTCTTCTAGGGTCGCTATGAGTTGGAATCGACTCGATGTATTAGAGTACAGACTTCACGAGGGCAGGGACTTTGTTTTGTTCACTGCTGTATCTACAGCACATAAACAGTGTTCGGCACATAGTAGGTACTTCGATATTTAAATAATATGGGGAAAGTTGATTTATATTACTATATTACATATTGGCATATACATTACAATTGTCCTCAGAGAGTTTTTGTTTGTTTTGTTTTTGGGCTGTATAACATCTGACTGGTCACACGTAAACCTCTGTATGTTTATACTCTTCAAGAAATCAATGTCTATCTTTCTCTGTCATTCAAACAATATAAATTGATATTTTAATTGTATACAGAATCACTACTTATCTAGCAGGTACAGTTTTAAATGAAACTTCATCCTGGATTGAAAAGCAAACATCCAGCCAATCAAATGGCTAAAAAAAATTTGCGATAGTATTTTATCTATTGCTGTATTCTAACTCAATTGTGAACACTTAAAAGAATTATCACAGTTATTTTAGGAACCAGCTGGTAGATATTATTGACCAAATAATGGTAGAGTCACAAATATCAAATGTGGGAGGTTATTTTATAGCACAAACCACTGTATTCTAGTTTTGCTATAGAAAAACATGGGTGGTGGTGGTGCAGTGGTTAACCGCTAGGCCGCTAACCAGTGGCTCTTTGGAAGAAAGATGTGGCAGTCTACTTCCATAAAGATTTCAGCCTTGGAAATCATATGGGGCAGTTCTCTTCTATCTTAATGGGGTCACTATGAGCTGGAATTGACTTGACTGCGGTGGGTTTGGGTTTTATTTTTGACACCAGTTCCTGAAATAATAAGCTAGGATATTAAACTCAGTGTTATGCAACAAAATTTTGAAGTTAAATACTGCGAGTATAATCTTTTTGGCACTTAAGTTAGATTGGGTGACTGTTAAAAAGGTTTAATTAAATGAAAATAGTCATTGCTGGAACATACTGATTAGAGAGCTAGAGAGAATGTTTAGAGATCTGGAAATGAAATTGTCATACAACTATATCTGTAACAGTGTCCTACCTCTTCCACCAACGTCTGTTGGAAAATTGCACGAATGGAAAGACAACACTGATGGAAATTCCTTATCAGCTGAGGGTGGACAGAGCCGCTTAGTTGTGCCACCTCTTCATGGGTAGGAGTAATAAAGATCCCCTGCACTGTTTCTAAGGCAACATAGTGGAAAAGTGTGTTCTCAGGACCTGATGTCAATCTTGAAAAGACAAAAAAAGAAAAAGAAGAAAGACATTTAAACTTGAAAATATTACTTTTGAATTTTGTCACTTTCTTATAAGCTTTTATCTACAATATGATATTAGTAATGTAACTAGGGAAGGGAAACTGGACCAAACACTGAATTCCCTCTTCCTCCTTAACTGAAGTACAGCCTAGGGTATTACTGATCCCCTTAATGTAGGCAAATACTAATGTTATTCAAGGATAAATAAACACCAATTCATTTGCAAGTAATTTCATCCTCCCTTTGTTAAACAACCCAAGTTGGCTGAACCCCTCTTTTTCCATGGTTGGTAATGAGTAACTCAGCCCACATCTGGCCCAGATATCTACAAGCCATAAACAAGGTATCAGTCTGGGGTGACCACACACAAAAATACCTTCTAACAAACTAAACACATTTAAGTCTTTCACCATGAAAGTCAAACTAATGATACTGAATAAAAATGAAGTTAGTACTACCAAGTGCAAATTTGAATTAATAGTCTATAATACCATAGCAATTACTAGGGGCATTCTACCACTTCTCATTATTACAATCTTCCTTCCCTCCTATAGTCTCTGTTCATGTTCTTACAATCCTCATTTCTCCTTTCTTCCTCTTCCCCATCCTTTCCTCCCCTAATTAGGTCTTAGATAGGCTAGGAGAACCTATAAATATTGCTTATTTCTAACAGTAGTAAGCAGAGCTAAACAACAACAACATAACATCAATAACGAAATAATAACAGTCATCCTCTAGTGAATGCCCTGTATATGCCAGGGTAGAGGTTCTTCAAAATACTTAGTCTAAGTTCTCATAACTCAGTAAGATATTAAATATTATTATTCCCATTTTAACCACAAGGAAACCAATATTTACAGGACTTGGATTTACTTGCCTGAAGTCCCATAGCTAAGTGGCAGAGCTTAGCTGACTATGAAGCTCGCTCCACTATATCTTGTTTTTTTCTGGACTTCTGATTGGCAGTCTTTAAATATATGGACAGAAATTCCCCATCTGCATCTCAAACACTCAAGCTGTTCTATTCTAATCTTCTATAATAAAGGCTGTCTATACTAAAAAAGTCCTTCAGTTGATTTGTTCCCAGCTATAAACTCAGAGGCAACAAAAAGGCATATTTCAGCTCTTTGCCTAGATATTGCCTCAGTCTCCTAGGCTAGTTAAATCTCTGTTAAACTGTTACGTTAGATGGTATGATCAGAAAGTAGGAGCGTGGTGACACAGTGGTTAAGCGCTTGGCTGCTAACCGTAAGGTTGGCAGTTCGAACTCACCAGCTGCTCTGCGGGATAAAGATGTGGCAGTCTGCTTACCTAAAGATTACAGCCCTGGGAACCCTATGGGGTAGTTCTCCTCTGTCCTATAGACTTGCTGTGAGTTGGGATCAACTTGACAGCAATGAGTTTGGGTTTATATGTGTATATAAGCAGCCCTGGTGGTAAAAGGTTATATGCTTAAGCTGCTAACTGAAAGGTTGGCAGTTCGAACCCACCAGCAGCCCTGCAGCAGAAAAGACCTGGCGATCTGCTCCTATAAAGATTTCAGCCTAGGAAACCCTATGGGGCAACATTTTTTTATGATCATAAAAAACTCCCTCTTATCACTGATTCATGGCCTTGGGTTCTCTTTTTAGGCCAGGAATAGGGAAGGAAGGTGAGTATCCACCAATTCTTACACTTTCCACGGGATGGCTGGCACTAAAGCACTAATGCGCACTAACAGTTGCTGGCTGACACCTTTAAAGAAATAAAAACTTAAATAATCAAGATGAAAGAAATTATGATTATTCAGAAAGGAAAGTAAAATATAGACTTGAATCTGAAGGTTTTCACATTCAAGAAAAGGTACAGAACAGAAATTATTCTTTAAAAAGGAACCATTTAATGATATTCTTTTTTTGGGGGGGTGGGTAGAACGAACATTTTTGTTTTTTTAAAATTTTCTCTGAAAAATAAACTAAAACACAATGAGCAAGCTTAACTCTTGAAAACCATAAACTCCCTCACTGCATATTAACTGAAAGCTTTAAAATCCTCAAACCAGCAGTCACCCAGTCACCCAACAGAAGGACAAAACATTTGTACAAAGACACATAAAGTCAGATCTGTTCTTCAGAAGGGTCACTTGTATAGTGGAAAATGGATTCAGGGTAGGCTGGGAGCTGGGAGACTGCTGTAGTAAAACCAGGTGAGAAAAAAAATGGGAGCCTAGGGCAGGATCAGTAAGGTCTAGATGGATTCAAGAACTATTCGGATGCAGAATGGATAGGACTTGGTTATGGTATATATTATTATTTTAAATATGTTACATATTTTACAAAAATACGTACATACAAATTAGTATCATATATTACGTATTGTTTTACATCATGCTTTTTAAATTAACTACACAGCATGAACATCTTCCATATCAATAATGGGAATAAATATACAACTTCAACATCTTTTTAAATAGGAGAGCCCATGATTTATACCACATGTGAATTCATACGTTTAAACCACTGACCTTGAGAAAAGACTTTCCTTTTACTAGAGATAAGGCCTCTAGAAAACTTTAAAAGAAAATTACATTATTTTTATATAGTACATAAAAATTAAGATATGGAGGTAATAAAATTGCAGAGCAGTAGTTTTTGTTAAACGGAAGACTAGGGTTTTATGAAAGTGCTTCAGGGTATCACAAGAAGTTTGATTCACATTTCTTTGTTCACCTTTTTTTTGTTTAAAAAAGATTTTTAACTATTAAACAATTAAAACATTCACATTTGGAGGCATTACATATCAAATTTTAACACATTAGGCTTCCAATGCATTATTCTGTGCAGAAAAATTACCTTATTTTTGCTCTGATCTCATAAAAAAGCTTTTCTTGAGAACTGTGACATATATATTTTAACTTTTGGTAAAATGTTTCAGTGATTAAGAAGGTGGGTTTTTTTGTTTTGTTTTTGGTGAGTTCTATTTGTCTATGACATAATAATTAAATACCAAGCAAGGCTTAGGCAGACACCACACAATAGTTGCACAAGAAGTGAGTATGTAACATTCCATATTGCAACGATTATAGACAATATAAGTTGCTAAACATGCTCTCCTAACTCAGTTCTTTTACCTCAGGATTCTCTGTATTCAATATAAGTTTGAGGTTTTGTCTGTTTTCTTAAAATAGAGTGTTACAGGATCAGTTTCCGGGGAGCCGGACTCTGAAAGGGAGTTATGCAGGGAAGAAGTTTTCAGGGAGTACTCTTGGGGGAGGCATGAGAAAGCAGGATTGAGCAGGAGAAAGCACGATTGAGCAGAAGAAAGAGGTGAACTGGGCTGCAGTTACAACTGAGGTCTCAGTAGATTTCACCAGGAACTCTGAAGCTTGGATGGCCTTTCAGAGTTGTCCTGAATTTAGGCAAGGGGCCAAGCTTTTGAACTTGCTTATCTATCAGTCATTAGATGCAGGCTCCTTCCAGGGAGGGGTGTAATGTTCTTTGAATCAGCAAACTTCCAAGGAGGGGAGGGTAAGTCCAGGGGAATGATCAGTTGTGAGTTATTAGCAGCCGTCACTCAGAAGCACTGGGAATGGGTACCTTGGCAAAGGGGTATCTGGGCAGCACACTACAGCAGCCACCAGACAGTCTGGCAATCATAAACTCTAACTTAAAAAATTAGACACAAAGGAGTGGTTTCCTATGGATGAAAGCTAAAGGAGGACTTTCACATTTTGAAATATTACTTTGTTTTTTAAATATGTTCATATGTTCATATTCCTAAATGTGTAATGAAAAACATTTGAGAAATGGAATAAATATTACTTTTAGTATGTAAGATATAATTACAGATGTTGAATAAAATCTCTATGTGTTTTGGAATTGTACTTTCACACTGTAAAACTTCCTTAAAGGCAAAGACAAAGAGTTTAAATGAAAAAAAAAGATTATTATAAGGAATTTTCTTACTTCATTGTGTTATATATTTCCAATTCTTTTTCCGAAAGGTCCTTTTTCAAGTTTCCCAAATGAAATGGATTTGGAAGAGTAGACTTCTTTTTAGTGACCTGAAAAATACAGTTAAGGAGATTAGTGTCTATCTACGTATCTATGGAATCAAACAGCAGAGATAAGTTAAAAACTAAAAATCTGTGTAAGAGCTACTTGTGATTTTTCTATGTTTCCTTTAAATATTTCAGATGCTAGTTTGCACCTCTTGGTTCATCCCCTGCTAACAGGAATCGCAGTGCACCATGTCATGGAAGGGCATGATGGTTCACCCTGAAAACCTACCAGAGCCATTATCAAGCCGTTACCAAGTTATGTTACAATTTATGTATGCATGCTTGTCTCCCTCCCATGACACTTCAACTCCTTAAGGGCAGGGGCTGTGTTTTATTCATCTTTAGATTTCTTTTGTGTAGCATGTCCCTTGATGCCTAGTAGGTACGCAGTCAACATTTGTTGAGTGGCTGAATCTTAAAGGTTAATTCAACTTCTCTTAGGTGCTGTTCATGGCTTTGTCATTCTTAAATCTCTCCAAATCCTCCTAAGACTATTCATATTTCCTATCAATTTCCCCAACTAGGATAAGGAGTTCAGTAGGGATGTGAGTACTTCCTAAATACATCCCACTTAGGGCTCCAAGAGTGCCCCATTGTTTGGGATTAGGAGATCGAATCTGTGGGTATTTACGTCTTGTCACTCAGAATCTCATATTTTGTTTGTGCCCCTTCTCAGACTCTTCCTTTTTCGTGCTTCATCTGACATCACCTCTGTCTATCCAAGTGACAAGTTTCAAAAATGTTTTGAAAGATTGCGGCATCACTAGGATAAGTACAGAGACTCCCAGGGTGATTATTTTTGATCATCATTTGGATATGTTTTGGTATTTTCATAGAAAAAAAGAATAAAAAACAATAACATAAGCAAACATTCCAAAAAATGAACATTCTCTTTGCTTTATAGTCACATCTTGAATTCTTCAGAGATCAGACCATATACGGTATACACACACACATTTTTGAGTTTCTAATTCTCTTTTTGTTTTTGCTGAACATTTTAATGGCTATTTAGTCCAATCAGTCCCCAAAATTCCCTACAACTAGTACACTTCCTGTTATCACTAGAAGTGAAGAAGAAAGAGATGTTCATGGAAAGCAGGACTGAAGAGTTTCCCTGCTTGTAAATACCGTTAAACAGATGCTCCTCAATGTCAAGGGGGCTCTTATTACTTGATATTGCTTCCCAAAGGCTCTTTTTGATTTTAAATAATTGGTTTGCCAACAGTGATTAAAAGCACCACCAGTTCAAATGAGGAATGAGCTGCCATAAAAAATTCTCTTGCAGTTATAAAATAAGAATTAGAGAGTTTAGCTCTCAGAATGTATACACTCGAATAAACACACACCTTAAGCAAGCCCCCAGTTTCCTCCAAAACATCAGAGCCCTGAGATTCTCTTTGCTTCCGTATTGCATCCGGTGTAGTGAGGGGGCTAAGGCCAACACCTTCTCCACCTTCACAACCATTGTCAGATCCTCCACTGCTTCTGGAAGGACTGGGCTTACGTGTCTTTAAGGAATAGTCACCAAAAAGGGTTCTTCTGCACGCTGGAGAGGTTGCTACTTTGGAAGTACCTTGTAGCCTACTGAGGATGGGTGAGGTTGTCAAACTATCTGGTTTGTCACGTGATCCAGTAAGGAACCAGTCAGCACAAGACAAACAGGGACTTGGAGCAGATGCTAGCCGTTCATCTATGCGGGAATCTACTCCTTCCAGCTGGTGGAGAGTTGTTTTGACCTGATCCACATATATATAGTCTGGTCCAGGATTCCCAATAGCTTTGGATGCACAGCCTCCAGCTTCTAATATTACACATAACATATAATGTCTCTATAAGAAAAAAAATTATTAATATAGATGTACCTACCATGAAAATATTTACATGCAACATGGATGTTTATAGTAATAAAGACGCATGGACATATGGCATACTCATGTAATGATTATTAAACATTCTTCCTTTCTTTTTCTCTCTTGGTTATTCTCAACACTTCTTCATCACCCTTGACAGCAAATCTCATTATTGCCTTGTTTTGATACACCTTCAACAACTCCTCTTGCTCGGCACATGGAATTTCCTACTAGCAAGTTTTCAAAAAGTCTCAATTATTGTAAGTCCTTTCATTTACAATTACATATTTATTCCACTTATGATTCTATATCCTTTTCTTGTCTCCCTCCTATTTCCCAAAACAAACCAGCAAATTTAAAACCACTATAGAAATGGGAACAAAATATTTTAAATTTTTTTCTGAATTTCATTAATATTTCTCCATAAATATTAAATGGATACAAAGGAATAAGGGGCATATAATATTTTCTTTAATACTGGTATTTGAAATGCTCATAATTTTAAATGATTGTTTGTTCATGTATTTCTTTAGACAGGCAACAAATGGCAGAAAAGAAATCCCCCAAAAAAGGTTGAGGTAAACTTACCAAACCGACAATTAGCAAAAAATATCTCCCTTCAAGTTCCTGAAAGACTTCAGTATTTGCGTCTTTAGAAGGTTGGAGGTGATGTTGAGGAAACACTTCTCTCCATATTACCAACTGACCAATTCTTTGTTTTGCTGCTAAAGGCAGTAGGCAATAGTGGCGACAGTATACAGCAATAGCAATAAGATCATCCTTAGGCAAATGACTGCATATCAAGTAACCCTTGGATTGAACCACAAAGAGCAAAAGTCAACTAATGACATAAAGTAATAATCCCATAATATAGTTCTTTATAGATACTTCTTCAGTTGGCTTAAAATATTACAGTTTCAGATGGAATAAATGAAGACAGAGCAAAGATAAATGCTTTATCTGAGGTCAAGCCAGAGATCAGATATAACTTACGGGACCCAACAAATAGACTTTAGCACAAAGCAAGACTGCCTCTGAATCGTATTAAGCTGAGGGTTTTGCAAAATTAGAAAGAACTGAAATCTGAAGAGGGGAAACTGGGGGTTGAGGTGGGAAAGATTTTTCACTATGTACCCTTCTATTGTTTTTAGATGTGTTTTATATTGTGCTTAAAACATACTTGAAAAATAAAGTAGCCAAAAACTAAATTTCTGAGGCCAACTCTTCAGACAAAGACTGGACAGGACTGTGGGACATAAAATGATACTCGTCAAGAGTATGCTTCTTAGCTCAAGTAGATACATGAGACTAAATGGGCAGCTTTTGTTCGGAGGTGAGATGAGAAGGCAGAGAGGGTTAGGAGCTGGTTGAATGGACGTGGGAAATCAGGGGTGGAAAGGAGAGGAGTGTGCTGTCACAGTATAGGGAGAGCAATTAGGGTCACATAACAATGTATACATTCTTGTATAAGAGACTAGCTTGAAATGTAAACTTTCATTTAAACTACAACAATAAACAAAAAAGAAAATAAGTTTGCTGCTTAATTTCTTTACATGGAAGTCAATTATTTAATGTTAGAAGATTTTCCTTAAAGATACAGGATTTCTTTTGAAGATGAAAAGCACACTGCTGCAAAAGAAAATTAAGAAAACTGTTGCTTTTCTCTTATATACTTGGGTCTTTGAGTTTTGTTTCTCCTTTATGCATTTACAAATACTTTGAATGCAATAACACCACAAATATTTATTATAAATACATAGATGTAAGTCTTGTTTTAAGATCTTTCTCATATGGTACCTACATTTAGAGGAAAAGAGATAAATATATTTTTCATGTTTGTCAAAGCCCAAAAATTTACTTTAGGCCTGTTCATATAACAGTTGGGCATTTATAAACATTTCAAGCTTCAACCTACCTTATAAAATAGGGAAGACCCCAAAATTGTATACAGCCGCCTCATGTCATAGTAATCCTCAGACTAGGGGAGGGAAAAAAGAAAGCCCACGGTGGATTTAAATTTTTTAGTTTTCTATGATTAAAAAATATTCTAATTAAGTTATAACACTTATAATGGAAATTATATTCTTTAGTAACTGAGCTTTTCATAGTGTCTTCTTTAGAAGTCAATATGCTAGAGTATTATGGTAAAATATATATGTATATGTATATTTATTTTTGATTGACAGTGTTATTTTTCATTCTTATAAGATGCTGTTGATCGAGACATCTAAGAATAGAACATAAGATTTGTTACAAGAGAAATTTTTAAAGACAAATATATGTCATCTAAAATATCCAATATTATCATATACTATTTTTCAGAGTACAAATTGGTACAACCTATTTGGGAACAAGTAATAAGTATGTAAAAAAGAAAAAAAACTGAACACATATACTCTTTTAATGAGTATCTTAGTTATTTAGTGCTGCTATACACAGAAATACCACAAGTGGGTGGCTTTAACAGAGAAATTCATTTTCTCACAGTTTAGGAGGCTAGAAGTCTGAATTAGGGCACTGGGTCTAGGGGAAGGCTTTCTCTGTCGGCTCGGGGGGAAGGTCCTTGTCTCTTCACCTTGTTTCCTGGTTCCTTGGAGATCTCCATGTGGCTTGGTGTCTGTCTTCCCTTTCTCTGCATTGCTTGTTTAATCTCTTTTATGTCTCAAAAGAGATTGACTCAAGACACACCCTACACTAATCCTGTTTCATTAACATAGCAAAGAAAACTTATTCCCAAATGAGATTATAACCACAGGCGTAGAGGTTAGGATTACAACACATCAACACATACTTTTGGGGGACACAATTCAATTCATAACACTGAGTAATTTTATTTCTAGAAATCTACAGTAATACTCAAGAGAATCAAGATTTTTGTATAAAATATTAATGCAGCATTATTTGTAATATAGGAAAACTGGAGATAACGTGAAGCTCAACAATGGAAGAATGGTTAATAAGGTATGTTCACACCACAGAATATGATAATGTTAAAAAAAAAAAGCTGATCTATATGTACAGACAAAAGTTTTTAGGATATACTGTTCAGCAAAAAATTTAAATGGCAAGAATTAGATTTTCAATATCTAATTTCTGATAAAAATAGACCCCCCCTAAAACCACACACACACACACACGCACACACACGCACACACACACACATACACGAGAATGTTGGTCTGTGTGCAGGTAGGTATGTATGAAGAAAAAGGTCTGGAAGGATATATGACAAACACTACGAGCAGTTGCAGCTGGGGGTGGAAGTGGGGAAGAGGGATGAAGAGAGAAGACATTTGCTTTTAGTAACTATGCTTGCATTTTCACCCGATATGCAGGAACTAATTTTAAAATTAAAAAAACAACAGAATCTAAAGAAAACTAAACACTGGAAACAACCTAAATATCCGTCCACCGAGGAATAAAGCGTGATACATCTGTACAATGAAATACTACTTAGCAATAAAAAGGATTGAACTACTGATACAGACTATTTAAAATCCCTCCAGGTTTTTGCAGGTATCAGTAGTTGGATTCTTTTTATCGCTGAGTAGTGTTCCATAATATCGATGTACCAAGGTTTGTTTATCTGTTCCTCAGTTGAGGGACATTTAGTTTGGGGTGATTATTTTTTGTTGTTGTTAGGTGCCATCGAGTCAATTTTTTGACTCATAGTAACCCCATGTGACTAAGTAGAACTGCCCCATAGGGTTTTCTAAGCTGTGATCTTTACAAAAGCAGACTACTGAGTCTCCTGTGGAGCCACTGGGTGGGTCTGAACTGCCAACCTTTCGGTTAGTAGCTGAGCACTTAACTGTTGTGCCACCAGGGCTCCTGGTATTATTTATCAAGCCATTGTAAACAGGCATGTACAGGTTTTTGTGTAATCCTAAATTTTCATTTCACTTTAGTAAATACCTAGGAGTGGGACTGCTGGGTCATTTGTGAGTGTGTATTTTACCTTTTGGTATATTTACCAAATGATTTTCCAAGGTGGCTGTACTACAATGAATTACCACCAGCAGTGCATGAGAGTACCAGTTGTTCTGCATTTGGCATTATAGTTTTTAAATTTTGGAGACCCTGGGTGGTGCAAACGGTTAAGTGCTCGGCTACTGGCTGAAAGGTTGGCAGTTCGAATCCACCCAGAGACAACTCTGAAGAAAGGCCTGGTGATCTACTTCCAAAAGACACAAAACTGAAAACCCTATGGAGGGCAGTTCTACTCTGAAACACAGGGGGTTGCCATAAGTTGGAATCGACTCAATGGCAATTTTATTTTTTTTTAAATTTTAGTTATTCTAATAGTTATGTGAGTCCCTGGGTGACACAAACAGTTAAGTGCTTGACTACTAGCGGAAAATTCAAACTCACCCAGAAGTGCCTCAAAGACAGGCCTGGCAATTTGCTTCCAAAAGGTCAGAGCCTTGAAAACCCTATGGAGCACTTCTGTCTACTCTGCACACATGGGGTCGCCACGAGTCAGAATCAACTTGATGGCAACTAACAATAATAGGTATGTAGTATTATTTCATTGTGTGTATTTTATTTTACTATTGCTGTTTTTTTATAAAAAAAAAATAGCTGTACTGAGGTAAAAGTGCAAAACCATTACCACAATCAAGATAACGGACATATCTCAACACGCTCAAATGTTTCCTCATGCACCTTTGTAATCCCTCACTCCTGTCCCTCCTTGCATATCCCATGCACTCTCCCCCACCATCTCCAGCAATCATTTAATCAGCTTTCTGTCACTGTAGATTAGTTTGCATTTTCTAGACTTTTACATAAATGGAATCATACAATATGTACTATTTTTTGGTCTGATTTCTTTGATTCATCATAATTATTTTGAGATTCATCCATATTGTGTGTTTATCAACAGATCATCCTTTTTATTGCTGAGTAGTATCCTATTGCACGTATATACCACAATTTATCTGTTCACCTTCTGATGGATATTTGGATTGTTTCCAGTTTTTGGCTATTAAAAATAAAGCTGCTGTGAACATTCGTGTATAGGTCTTTGTGTGGACATACGCTTTCATTTCTCTTGGGTAAAGAGATAAGAATAGAATGGCTGAATAATATGGTAGGTGTATATTTAACTTTTTAAGAAACTGCCAAACTTTTCCAAGGTGGTTGCACCATTTTGCATTCCTAATTTATCAATTTTTTTTCTTTTATGGGTCATGCTTTTGATGTCATAACTAAGGAATCCCAATAGACCTTTTCTAACCATAGACAATATCGTTAGTTTCACTGCTCATTAAAAGAATATTCTATAAAGACCGGAATTAGATTTTTAATTAAACCTACTGCATATAAGTTCCTAAAACATTGATATTTGTATCAGTGTTAGTATTAATTTTAGATCTAAACTGATCTAATGATTAGTATCTGTCATGGATTGAATTGTGTCCCCAAAAAATATGTGTTGACTTGGCTAGGCCGTGATACCCAGTATTGTGTAATTGTCCTCCATTTTGTGATCTGAACTATCCTCCATTTTATGTGTTGTAAATCCCAAAACCTCCATGAGGCAGGATTAGGGTGGGGTGTATCTTGGGTCACACCGCCTTATTCAAGTCACGCCCTTACTCAAGTCAGTGCCTTGAGTTTTGTCCTACAACAGATAAAAGGAAAGAGAAGCAGGCATAGATGGAGTAAGGTAGATGCCAAGACACATGGAGATCCCCAAGAAACTAGGAAGCAGAAACCAAAGAGACAAGGACCTTTCCCCAGAGCTGAGACAGACAGAAAGCCTTTCCCCAGAGCCGGCACCCTGAATTCAGACTTACAGTTTCCTAAACTGAAAAAATAAATTTATGTTTGTTAAAGTCATCCACTTGTGGTATTTCGGTTATAGCAGCACTAGATAACTAAAACAGTATCTAACGATTGCTGCTGTTGTTAGGTGCCGTAGAGTTGGTTCTGACTCATAGTGACCCTATGTACAACAGAACGAAACACTGCCTGGTCCTGCGCCATTCCCACAATCATTGCTGTGTTTGAGCCCACTGTTGCAGCCACTGCATCAATCAATCTCATTGAGAGTCTTCACCTTTTTTACTGACCCCATCATATTTTGAGTGCCTTCCAACCTGAGAGGATCATCTTCCAGCACTGTATCAGACAATGATTTGCTGCTATTCATAAGGTTTTCACTGGCCAGTTTCTTTTACAGAAGTATATCGCCAGGTCCTTCTTCCTGGTCTGTCTTAGTCTGGAAGCTCCACTGAAACCTGTCTACTATGGGTGGCTGTCTTAGTTACCTAGTACTGCTATAACAGAAATACCACCAGTGGATGACTTTAACAAACAGAAATGTATTCTCTCACAGTTTGGGGGGCTAAAGTCTAAATTCAGGGTGCCAGCTCCAGGGGAAGGCTTTCCCTCTCTGTTGGGTCTGCAGGAAGGTCCTTGTCATTGATCTTCCTCTGGTCTAGGAGCTGCTCAGTGCAGGGACCCTGGGTCCAAAGGACATGTTTCCCAGCTGGTTCTTCATTCTTGGGGGTAGGAAGTCCCCCCATCCGACTCGATTCTCTCTTTTATATCCCTTGAGACTGAGGCAGCTCTGCTTCCTGTGCTCCTTGTCTCTTCAGCTTCTGCTTCCTTGTTCCTTGGTCTCTCAGCCCCTTGGCTCCTTGGGCCTCTTGGGCTAGCCTGGCATCTGCCCTGCTAGAGCAAGTGTTCCAAAGCTCTTTAGCTCTACTGATAAGGTCCATCTATGTTGGATGCAGGCCAAATGCCTAAGGAAACTCCCTTTCAACTGTCTGGCTACTCTCAGCAGATCCCATTTATAGAGGTGATCACATTATATCAGATCTTAACGTGGAGATAATTACATCATTATATAATTGCCAAACTACGTCATAACTCACAAACCACTGAGAATCATGGCCCAGCCAAGTTGACACACAACCTCAATGATCACAGTGACCTTGCTGGTATTTGAAATACCAGAGGCATACCTTCCAGCATCACAGCAACACGCATGCCACCACAGTATGACAAACTGATAGACAAGTGATGATTTAATGATTAGTATCTATCTAAACATTTTTCTTTGGTGAAAAAAATATGATCTAAGAAAAATTCAACATGCTTAAGTTTCTGTTAACTCTTAGAAGCAAAATATCCTTGTGTTGACTCAAGATCTTGGTTAAGACTCAGCTCCCTCTTCATGCTAACATCCTTTCCCCACTTTCACCATCAATCTTATTTAGAATGATCCACCCTGACTCTTTCCACTTCCTCATTTCCCATTCACTTCTTACAAGAAATTTTATTACTGAAATTTTAAACATATATAAAAACACAATAGTATAATTAGCCCTTACGTATTCATCAAGGAGCCTTGTTGGCTCTGTGGTTAAATGCTTATCTGCTAACCAAAAGGTTGGTGGTTTGAGCCACCCAGCGGCTCCTCGGGAAGAAGACCTGGTGATCTGCTCCCATAAAGATTACAGCCTAGGAAACTCTATGGGGCAGTTCTGTCCCATGAGGTCGCTATGAGTTGAAAATCGACTCGATGGCATCTAACAACAAGTATACATCATTACCCAGTTTCAACTATTCCCAGTGCATGCTCATCTTGTTTCAGCTATATTCCTCTCCCCTCACCCCATCCCCACTCCGCTAAAATAGAAACTTTAAAAAAAATGACTATAATACCATTATCACATCTAAAGAATTATTCTCATCTAAAATCAGTCATTAGTGTTTATATTTCTTTAATTGTCTCATGTTTTAAAAACTTTGTTTGAATCAAGATCCAGTTAAGAGCCATAAATTGCAATTCATTAACTATGTTTCTTAACTTGCTTGTAACCTGTAGGTTCTCTCTGTACTTCCTCTTCCCCCTTCCCACTCCGGAATTTATTTGTTGAACAAACTGCAGCATTGTCCTGTGCCATTTCCCAGTCTGAATTTAATGACTGCAATTTCACTCCCCTATGGGGTCATTTAGCATGTCCCTTCTTCACTGTATTTCCTATAGATTGGTAGTTAGATCTTGATGCCTGATCAGGTATATCTCATAGATGCTTTGTGTACTTCCACCAGTAGGGACACACTACCTGATTGCCTCTAGTTGTGATGTTAACAGCTACTGATTATCATTGCCTAGATCCATTAATTCACTGGGGAATTGCAAATCAGTGGTATTCTAATTCTGTCATTCTTCAGGTGTTAGGTAGAATACTTCTATAAGGAAAACTCCTCATTTCTATTTGGGGACCCTGGTGGCGCAGTGGTTAAGCATCTGGCTGCTAACCAAAAGATCAGCAGTTCAAATCCACCAGCTGCTCCTTGGAAAACCTATGGGGCAGTTCTACTCTGTCCCGTAGAGTCGCCATGAGTTGGAATCGACTAGATGGCAACAGGTTCAACCTTGAGGTATAGTTCAGATAGGAAAAACAGGATAAATGTTTGATTATTTCCCTTTATTTACCAGTTTTCACAATAACAAGTTCGTTCCCTAGCATCCTCCAAGACTGACCAATACTTTTTTTTTAAGTATCATTATGAATTCATGGACTTAAATATATCTAATATGTTTTAATCCATTGCAGTAACTATCTGTATGGATGCTCAAGTGGGAGCCTCTTCAAGTTGTCTCTTGACAACTTGAATCCTACTATAATCCTAGTAATTTTTGAAAGCTTCCTGGATTTCTGACATGACAAGATGTTCCCAGGCTTATCCTGTACATTTGTCTGAGGAGTCACAGTTAGTTCCTTTTAGTGAGAGAAGTTATTTAGAGACAGTAGCCTGGGTACTGGGGGTGCTCATCACTGCTAGGATGGTCATTATTTCTAGACCTTTTCAGGGGACAGAGCTAGGAAATACATATTTTTAAAAGATGAAAAACATATTTATACTTCCAATTCAAATTTAGACCTATAGGGTTTTCACTTAATCAGTCTTACATCTGTATCTCTTTTCTCTAAGTTCTTTTTTTTTTTTTTTATTATTATGCTTTAGATGAAGGTTTACAGAGCAAATTAGTTTCTCATTAAACAATTAATACACATATTGTTTTGTGACATTGGTTGCCAACCCCATGACATGTCAACTGTCTCCCCTTCTGAACCTTGGGTTCCCCATTACCAGCTTTCCCATCCCCTCCTGCCTCCTCATCCTTGCCTCTGGGCTGGTGTACCTGTTTAGTCTCATTTTGTTTTATGGGCCTGTCTAATCTTTGACTGAAGGGTGAGCCTCAGGAGTGACTTCACTACTGAGTTAAAAGGGTGTCCAGGGGCCATACTCTCAGGGTTTCTCCAGTCTCTGTCAGACCAGTACATCTGGTCTTTTTTTCTTTTTTTTTTTTTTGTGAGTTAGAATTTTATTCTGCATTTTTCTCCAGCTCTGTCTAGGGCCCTCTATTGTGATCCTTGTCAGAACAGTCGGTGGTGGTAGCTGGGCACCGTCTGGTTGTGCTGGACTCAGTTTGGTGGAGGCTGTGGTAGTTGTGGTCCATTAGTTCTCTCAGTTCTTAATGACACCAGTGTAATTAATCATTTTTTTTATCCCATATTATTTTCAACTGAGTAGAAAATCTTAAGGCAAGCAAAATAGATTTTGTCTTGTGTAGTATTAAACAAAGCAGAGACCTAATGTGCATCTCAAGATTATTACATGTCCATATGATACTTGGTAAATATTTAAAATAAGGACTGACTGACAAAATAAGAAATCAACATTGAGATGTTCCTAAAATCCTCTCCTTCTCTTACCAGTTCTGCAAAATCTGCAGCCTCCAAGTTACTCAAAGCTGTGTCCAATTCCACCTATTAAAAAAAAAAAGGTAACATTTGACTCATGTTAGTTATTTTTCAATAATAGTCATATAAAAAGTGCTCAATAACTATTTGAAGAATTGAATTAGTATCTTGCTCCTTTGTGTTACTTAAGAAATGTCCTAAAATGAAACATCTTGTTTTTAAGCTTGATAGTTAAAAAAAAAAGATTTAATATATATCCTTTTTCAATTAAATTTCAATTATTGTGAAATAGGCTTTCCCTGTTTTCAACGTAAAACAATTTATGAGGTTAAAGAAATGCTGTTGCAGTTTTAAACTAAAAAAAAAAAAAAAAAAGTTAAGCCATTTAGCTTCTTAGAGGAAAATGAAAATCAATATTAATGTAGCTAACCTATTTTCAGTTGTTGTTTTTGTTTTTCCACTTCCTGTATAATTCTCTACAGTTGTATTCTTAGAAAATACCAACATTCTTCCCTGTCTCTCTCCTAGACACAATGTTTTGTATAAAAGGGCTTTCAATCTTTATTCATGGATTAAAACATGCAGGCAAGCGTTTCCCTGGAACCCAGCACAGTTTAAGTACCCTACAGAATGTATTAAAAAAAAAATCTCTTACTTAGAATCTGGCTTTTGGCCCTATGGAAACTTCCTAAACTCTTTCATGTATTACCTTTGTTCTTCCTTGAAGCATTCAAACTTTAAAAACAGAATAAATTTAACTGGCAGTTTAATCTGTAATACATAGATGCATACATATATATACACACACACACATATATATAAATTTAAAACTTTTAGCAATTGAAGCTTGTAACTGAAGCTCATACATGCTACTTGTGGAAAAGAACCTTTTTTTGGTTTGTTTTGTTTTCAAGGCCAAGGCATTCTCTGCAGGACTGTGTTTCACAAACTGTGTCTTACTGAGATGACAAAAGCTTCTGAAGCATTAGTCATGCCTTTCAGTGCTTTTTACACAGTATGACTTTATTAATCATTTGTGATCTACATTTTTCACCATCTAGCAAATACTTCATGTTCTCTTTTTTTCGTGGCTGCATCTTCTCTTGTGAAAAATTACAGGACAAAAAGAAAATTACTTGTGATTTTTGATCTCAGAAACTGTTTAATGAGTTGCTACTCAAGTCTACGGGCTAATATACAATGTTAACTATAACTGTCCCTTCATATTCCTGAAGAGAAGAGGTTAAGTATATTTTCTCAATTTTTCTAGTATATTCTGGAAAAATAGTAAAAAGAGGGGAGGGAGAGGGAGAAATCTGACAAACAGAAAAAGGAAATTCTCAAATACCTGAGAAAGAAAACGGAAGTGAGACCTCATCACATACTAAATGCAGAGCAAATACTTCTTTTCAAGTTAAAAAAAAAACAAATTCTACCTAAAATTAACCAGGCACAAGTTATATCACACACATCTTTAACTAGATTTCTTAAGCCATAAAATTCCTTAATATTTTCCATTAGAAGACATACAGTCAATAAATCCTATTTAAATAAGAAATCCCAAAAGAGAAAAAGGAAGTATATAAGTTCTTTGAGTTTGCTGGTAAAAACCAAAATAAAAACTTCAAGTGTTATTATTCAAACTTTACATTCATCAAAGAGATCTTTAGACCACTTTATCAGATGGTATCTATAACTAACTCTTTCAAAAAATGTTGTTAATTCTCCTAATCAAACTACAAAATGTAGAAAACGTCTAGCTATATCCTATTTCGTATGTATTAATCAGGAGTCCCTGGGTGGTGCAGAGGGGTAAGTGCTCAATTACTAGCTGAAAGGCTGGTGGTTCAAACCCACCCAGAGGTGCCTTGAAATACAAGCCTGGTGATCTGCTTCCGAAAGGTCACACACAGCCTTGAAAACCCTATGGAGCAGTTCTCCTCTGTACACACTAGGTCACCATGAGTCGGAATTGACACAAAAAAGAACGTGTTAATCTTGTATATCTAAAGGCAGGAGTCCTTGAGTGGTGCAAATGGTTAACGTTTGGCTGCTAACTGAAAGGTAGAAGGTTTGAGACCACCAAAAGGCACCTTGGAAGAAAGGCCTGGCAATCTGTTCCCAAAAATCAGCCATTGAAAACCCTATGGGGCACAGTTCTACTCTGAAACACATGGGGTCACCATGAATCAGAGTCGATTCGATGGCAACTGGTCAACTGGTACCCAAAGGATACCCAGAAGATTTTTTGGAGTCCTCAAAGCATAGCACAATCCTGAGCACCTGGCACAATGGAGACTGACCTCCACACAGTAGTGGTTAGACTTAACAAGGATAAAAAATCTTTTCAATCAAATGTATACTAAATTTAAGGGAAAAATTCATATAAAAAAGAAATCTGACAATAAGAGGCGGCCTTCACCGTGGGATTTATAAGATCAAAATAGGCTGTATTTTAAAACGTTTTAAACTTCCTAAAGGGAAGACAGTTTTTAATCCTAACATATCCAAAGTCTAAAGACATTGCGTGTAAAAAACATTAAGTACCCTATTACAGCAGAAAGAGGAGACTACACATTTTGAGGAAAGAGGTTTCTCTACTAAAGAGATTCTGAGACTGGGGAAAGAACCTGGGTAACTGCAAGACCAGAATGGCGAGCCTCATGATGCAGGCCCAGTGCCTTTCAGGGGAAAACAGCCTCAGGTTGGACATGAGACAGGTGTCTTTCTAATTTAAAGGTAAAGGTATTTAATTATTTTCTATCTATATTAAATATGTGTATTTTCTTATGACAACATTGGTGAGGGTCGAATTAGACTATCATACTTTTTAGTTTTTACATGATTTAGGAAAATGGTAACCATTGGCTTGTGGCATCAAAAGATGCATCATCAGGCAGTTGACAAAGGTAAGGAAAAACAAAAACAGCAGAAGGCAAAGTTTCCTTTAAATAACAACTTTCAAATAATAATTAGAAAATAACCCTCCTAAGAACTACAAGTACAATGTGCTAGGCACAATTCTAAGTACTTTACATGTAATAACTCACAAGTCTCTGAACTAAGTGCTATGATTGTCCCCATTTTACAGATGAAGAAACGAAGCAAAGAGTTGAGATACCAAATTATTATCAAATTATTAAAAAGGCATTTATTTGATAATACACTGCAGAATTCCATGAGTGTAGAGCAGAATCTTGATGTGGGTTTTTACTCCAGCATAACCTGAGTTTCATCATGGGTTGGGAACGGGCTATGGCACAGTGCCTCGTTCAATACCAATACACGTGCTGTGGCTACATAGATGGATTATGCCATGGTCTACACTGACGAAAATGTCTGCAGTGATCTTATCAATCATTCAACAGCAGAGGTATTCTGGGTATAAAGATATGACTAAGATCATACTGGTAATACTTAACCATCATCAAGTTCTTACCTTGGGAAGTTAAGCTATCTATGGGACAACTCAATAGCTAGTCACATATGTTCATGGAAAGATTGATTTTGCTATTATATGCAGCACCTGTCTTTTAATTAAAGCTATTGCTTGTTAGCCCATCATTTTGTCCAATTTAATCTGTGTATAAACATAATCCTAATTTGATGACCTTGCATTATAAAATCAAGGTCACAAAATTTAAAAGTAAGACGTGCAATGTAATTATGATTTCTGAAAAGTATTCTAAGTTTGTACAAAGCTTACATATTGAAATTAAGATGCAAGAGCTAACTTCCATTTAGAAAGAATAATTTGTCTTTCTAAATTCAATGCACTGGAATTCCTACTTCACCAACCAATTGCCTCACTAATATTTATCCATAATACAGAAAATAATAACGAGCCTAAGAAAAAAAAAGAGAAGACAAAGGACCACAAGGCAATTTGCTTTGATTCTTGTTGATGACACCTAAGATTACCTTGACTTCCTGTGGAAGTGTCAGCCACCGAACTCCAGGAAGATTGTCTAAAAACACTGCACTGGAAGCATCATACTGTTGTGCACTGTGACTGGCATTTGGATGTAGTTTAGTAGGCTGAAGTGCTCTTTGGAAGAACAAGTTGAAAAAATGATCCAGACGAGGACCATTCTCAACCTGGCAGAATGCACTGAAGAAACAAGAACTCTAAGTTAGAACAACGTATGGAACTAGTGGTCGTTTCTGTATGCTCCTAAGGGGACTGAATCTTTTCCATCTACACAGACTCTCCTCCTCAGCTTCCTCCCTCAATAAGAGTCACTGCTCTGATTTTACTGATGGAGTGTGTCTTGATCATCACCATCATCATCATTAATCACAAATATTTATTGCATGTGCACTATGTGACATGCACTGCACTAATGCTTTACATGATTACACATCTCTAATCTTGTAATTCCACCAGGTAGATACTATTATCATTCCCATTTTACAGAATAAAGAAGTTGCAGTTCAGACTAGTAAAAAAACAGCTTGCCCAAAATCATACAGCTAGTAAATAATGAAGCTGGATTTGAACCCAGGGCTAACCACGTCTCAATTTTAACCAACCTATTGAGAGAGGCTTTGCTAAAATCAAACTATACCATGTCTATAGCTCAACCCTGCTAGTAACTCTATTAAGAGCAAATGAGGCTAATTTTGAAGGACATGTCTTAGGTGAACCCATGCTAGCACTTGGGCAGGATGGACCCAGGCAAAATTGTGAAGCAGATAAAATTTGGCTTTGGTTATCCAGAACGCTAGTCCTCATTTTATACCATTCAATCTCAATGAAGCTACCTCCTCATCAGAAGTAGAAAAAGATTATAGGTACCCCCTCATTACTCCAGATTCTGTACTCGAGAATTTGTCTACTTGCTAAAATTTGTAACCCTAAAATCAGTTATGTGTGGCACTTCTGTGGTCATCCGTGGATATGCGCAGAGTGGTGAAAAAATTGAGTTGACTGATGCACACATTCCTAGTTGAGGTTGAAGAAGGCAATGCTCTGCCTTCGCTTTAGTAAACAAGTACGTCCTTTTTTGTGGTCTATCTAATGTTACATTTTTCACATTTTTGTGCTTATTGTTGGTGATTGCACTTTTAAAAATGGCCCCCAAGGATAGTGGCGAAGTGCTGTCTGGTGGTCCTGAGTGCAAGAAGGCTGTAATGTGCTTTATGGAGAAAATATGAGGGTTAGGTAAGCCACGCTCAGCCGTAAGTTATAGTACTTTGGCTATGAGTTAATCAACAATATATACTGAATAAGGTACCTTTAAACAGAAACACACATAAAACAACATATATGGATCAGTTGATGAAAACGTGACCAGAGGCTTGCAGGAACCTACCCCTGTATTTCCTCTAGGAGCAATGGTTCAGTATCCACTCATTCAGTGTTCGGGGCAACTTTATAGACTACAACTACGGCGAATAATGAGAATTGACTGTACCACTTTAGTACTGTTGAGGCACTAAGCAGATCCCTACTGCAAAGTTAAAGGTGGGAAGGAAGATCATAGGAAAGAAGATAAACCTGGAAAGTATGGAGACCTAGAAGACAGACTGCTCTGGTACGTTAGCGCCCGCCCATCCTGGGGGCTGGTCTGGTACGTTAGCGCATGCCCGTCTTGGGGGCTGGTCTGGTACGTTAGCGCGCACCCGTCCTGGGGGCTGCTCTGGTACGTTAGCGCGCGCCCGCCCTGGGGGCTGGTCTGGTACGTTAGCGCGTGCCTGCCCTGGGGGCTGGTCTGGTACCATTCACCCATCTAGAGGGTAAGGAATATGCCAGTTAACTTTGAACAGCCCAGTCTTGGGGAAATCGTTAAGAAATTCACCCTGCCTATTTTTTTTTATCCTATGCATTTAGGAGAGGGTACTGTGGAAGAACAACAGGGCTAACATAAGTGGCACATCTACAACAGAAAGGGCTAAAGTATGTTACTATATACAGGTAATCCCGATATACAGGTAATCCCGAATTTATGATGGGGTTCCGTTCCGATGGCTCTAAGTCAGTTCTGACCTAAGTTGAATACCTCATTTTTTTTTAGTTTTCATTATTATTGCCTTTTATTATCAGTGTCTGTTTTGTAAGTCCGATCTTTATTTGTCTTTAGGGAGTGGAAACATTACATCTCAGAATGATAACATCAGCAAATTACACACTGCAACACTGTATGTAGTACATATTACTAATGATAAAATGTACCAAAAAAAAAAAGGACGGTCATCAGTGTGGTTAGCCATAACTCAAATATGTCGTAAGTCAGGGATTACCTGTAAGGAGTTTTCTGTAGCTCAAAAAACTAACCAGTTCATAACATAAAAAAGAAGACTGTGTAGATCCTAGCTGGGTATTGCTGGATTATTTTTCAATGTATTTATTAAATAATATACCTAAATAAGTCTTTGAACTTTTTGGTCTTTTCCTAGTTTTTTCACAATGGGCCTTTGATATCTTTCATAAGCAGAGAAAAACCTTATTATTAAAGAATTTATTGAGAAATGATTATTAACAACACATTGTCGTTACACTATTTCTTGGTTTCAACAACTCGAAGGATCTTTGCATTTATTATCTTAGTTTGCCCTTCAAACTTTCATTGAACAAGCAGAAACTAGTTAATTTGCTGCCATCTTGGGGATACTTCAAGATCCACGGAAGCCAAGTTTCACGATAAAAAGCACAGAAATCAAGAGCCCTGCCGAGCCCGCCCAGAAGTGCACAACAACTCCAACTGATTGTTTTCATATATGAAATTCAATGAATTAATCTAATCTTTGATAATTTTTGAAACAGAGTGTTAAGTAGGGCAAAACGTAGTAGCAAAGTTTGCTCATCTAGTGCAAATGCAAGGAAACAAAAAAAAAACCAAACCCATTGCCGTCCAGTCAATTCCGACTCATAGCAACCCTATGAAACGCAAGGAAGTGGTTTATAAATACAATCCTTACTCTTTATTGGTTAAAAATTTCCTTCTTCATAAAAATTAAAAGTACAGTTTATGGATGCCCAGCCTTTCGTAGCTCACACACGTGGAAAGGGCTAACTAACCACGTTTGAGAGGGAAGTGCCTCCTCTGAGGCCCCTCCAGAGAACACTGCAGGTAAAACCATTTTCTCAGATGGTACAATCACAGAAAATTCCTTCATGCTGCTTAGAGAACAGCAACAACAAAGATCCACTGCTGAGAGACAGTTGATACCACTCTGCCTTGGAAAAATGTACAAACTGTTTTTGGATTTTTATATTGATATACTCTCAAAACTTTGAAAGCAAAGGCATCATTTTAGTGCTCTGACGTACTAGACTTACAAAAATACCACTAAGGAAAAATCTGTTTTCATCTATAAATTTTGTTTGCTTAAATGTTGAGCAGTTTACCTCAGATTTTCTCCTTTGAATCAAGAAAGACACATCACATTCTATTGTAAGGTTTAAAAAGAAAGCAGCAGAACAATATGCATAACAGTTTTTACCACTGCAGCTGTGTCTATTGGTAAAAAAAAGTATGTATATTCATGTATTCATATTTTAAAGAAAACAGATGAAAGAAAGATGAACATAAAACTAGTCATTACCTTTCTGTACTGTCTTTTAGCTGTATTATTTTTTTACAATAATAGTATATACATTTTTTTTTACAAAAGCAGAGAAAAACACATTTAAAATCTTGTTTTTTGTACCTGTATGAAGAAATCCTCTCACATATGCCCCTACAGAAATAGGTCAAATCAGAATATAGTTGTGGTTATATTACTATTTCACGAAAGTAATATATGAGATCCCCCAAAAAACAGTGGATTAAATGAAAAATTGCTTAATGTTGTAAAATAAAACCAAGTAATGACACATGAGAAAAAACAAACAACTGTCTTGCCAAGCAAGGAACAAGATGAAGTGGAAAAGCTGATTTAGAATCATATACTTAAAACTTGTGATTCCATTCCAAGAGTACTTACCTATCTAAAGAACCATACATAAATTTTAAAGTGTGAGCAACATCTTCTATCATATTCCTTAGCTGAGGAAGAGGAACTCTAAAAAATACAAAAACACATCCATTTATTTTATAGCAAAATCAAATGATACATATCTAAAAGAAGCAGAACATTTTTACATTTTATATATAAAGAATGTGAAAAGTATGTCTGTCAACTGTGAGTGTAGCTGTGTAAAAATGGCTGTTTAGTGATGAGCAATTAATCACTTTGAGGTCTAGATTTGGGGTTCTAGCATGAGTCATATAGGGACTTCTTATATGATCACATACAGGCAAGTTATTGGGTTCAGTTTCCTCATCTGTAAAATGGGGCCAAAAGTCACTAAGTACTTCTCAGGTAGATTCTGAGGATTAAATGAAATTAATACATATAAAATACTTAATGCAGTACCTGGGCCCACAGAAAGAAATGATAAATTCTTTATACTTTCCAGTATTATGCAGATCTCAAATGAACCTCCAACTACATTTCTCTTTGTGACAGAAATGAAATGGAGAAAGGAAAGAAAGCAGGCCATGGAATTATATTTTCTCACTGAAGCCTTATAAGAATTCTGCAAGATAGGCCTTATTATCTCCGTTTGTGGAGAAGAATCAACATAAATCCAATCCCCAAAATGTGCAGATTAATCAAATCCCCACTTTTCCACTTCTCAATCATCTCTAACACCAGCCCCCGGCACGGCACTCCCTCTCTCTGCCCCTAGCCACCCGGAGTTAGGGCAAATCTCACAAGTTAAAAGGACACTTCTTCAGACTGTCAAATAGGCCGCAAACTCAGAAGTCCACATGACACCCCTACTTTTGACTTGCTGGGTTTTCCCACTACCCCTTCTGGATGCCAGCTACAAGCTCAGGGGCCTCCCCTGGGCTCCCTCACTTTAACCTGCTGCCTCCCACTACTCCTTTGGGTTCAATAATTCACTGGTATGACTCACAGATCTCACAGAAAGTACTATACTTTATTAAAGATTTATTATACTAAAAGGATACAAATCAGGATCATCATAAGAAAGAGATGCATGGGTGAGGCCTGGGAGGGTTGGGAACGTCGAGCTTCTGTATCTCAAAAAAGGGCATGTCAACCTCCCTTCACCAAATAGGAAGCTCTCAGAGCCTCCAAGTTCAGAGCCTTTACTGGTCGCAATCATTATGGAGTTCTGATTGAGGCCTCTTTGCATATGCATGGTAAGTTAAATCATGCCTCCAGAGGTTAGTTGGTATTGGGCTACAAGGTGGTCTTTCTGGCCTGGCTAGCCCCCGCTCATTACACTGAGTACAAATCGTCAGGTGTGATCTGGAGGTTTTAGATAATAAAGCCACCTGAATGACTCAGGAAATTCCAAGGCTTATCTCTTAGCAGCTAAGAACAAGGGCTGAACTGTATTGTTGTTGTTTTTTGTTAAGGTAATTCACTGATGCAGACCCCGTTTGTCTTAGTTATCTAGTGCTGCTATAACAGAAGTACGACAAGTGGATGGCTTTAACAAACAGAAATTTATTCTCTTACAGTTTAGGAGGCTAGAAGTCTGAATTCAGGGTGCTAGCTCTAGTGGAAGGGTTTCTCTGTCCGTTGGGTCTAGGGGAAGGTCCTTGTTATCAATCTTCCTCTGGTCTAGGAACTCCTCAGCGCAGAGACCCTGGGTCCAAAGGACTCGGTTCACTCTTGGCTCCTCTTGCTTGGTGGTAATGAGGTCCCTCTCCTCTCTGCTCACTTCACTCTTTTATGTCTCAAAAGAGGGCGACTTAAGATACAACCTAATCCCTGTAGATTGTGTCCTGCCTCATTATCATAACTATCTCTAATCCTACCTCATTAACATCATAGAGGTTAGGATTTAGAACACACAGGATAATTACATCAGATCACAAAATGGAGGACAACCACACAATACTGGGAATCATCGCCTAGCCAGGCTGACACGTATTTTTGGGGGACACAATTCAATCCACAACACCATTATACCAGTGGATACACTGAGGTACAAGAAGTTTAGTAATTTGTGCAAGGCCACAAAGGGAGTGGAGCCTTCCAGTGAGCTTACATCTTCTTCGTTACAAAGTTAATTCTCTCTACTACCCCACACTTCTTCCTAGTTAAGTTCCTGTTATTCAGCGTGATCTTTTGTGATCAAAAGAATGATCCTCCCTGGGAAAACACATGTCCCTGGATCACTATGAACCCGCGTGCAGTCTTCTCTGGGGCAGCACTTTTCTCACCCAGCCTGTAAAAGGCAGAGGGAAACACACTGGCTGACAAGGGAAGAATCCCAGGGCTGCCAGCTCAATTACAAACCATGCACACGATGCTGGAGACGACATACAAATTGACACCGAGGAAGTTCTTGTACATGATCTCTCACTACTCTGTTTCCCAATCTGAGCAAATGGGAATAATAATACCTACCTGTCATGGTTATGTGAAACAAGATGGTATAAACAAAAGACTCTGGTACAGAGGGTTGGTTTGAGCAGGGACAGATTACCCAATAAGCAAGGTAAGCCCATGCTTAGGGCATCAACAGAACAGGGGCACCAGCTGTCCAAAGTAAAGACACATAGATACCAAGCAGACAGGACACAAAGAAAAGTAAGTGCCACAGTGGAAGGGAACTGGCAGGGCACTAAATGAAAACGATACCAGCTCCAGTGCGTGAGAACGTGCTGGCCGGAGTTAAAGTTCATACAGGGTCACGACTGTGCCCACACACAAGGTTGTTTAAGCTCTGAGGCTCCTACCACTTCAACACCTTCATTGATGTTTGTCTCCTACAGTCCCCTTGTGTGTAATTTAAAAAGTTATATCATGGATAGCTAAGACACACACACTCACACACATGCAAATCTATACATGTATATATATAACTCACATATCCTGTTTGAATGCATGAGTAAGCAGAGGAGGGGGCACCACAGGTGATCAGTCTTTAGGGCCCTCAGAGGCCGTAATCTGGCCCTGAGTTTAAGCATTAACAGAGGACAGGTAAAGAGGTGACTAGGGTTTATTTTTGATTTGAAGCTCAGGATAAAGAATAAGGAAGATCTTCAAATTCATTCTGGTTTATCAAGCCAAGTTCCTTAAGATAGGAATGACAAATACTTAGGGAACACCCCTCTCCACCATCAAGTATTAAAGATTGAGAAACTGGCTACAGCATCCCCTACGCAGCACAGTCTTGATCTGAAGCTCAGCAGTGACAGTCCATTCTTTTTTGGCTTCAAGATAAAACCTCTCCTGGAAACTGTCTCTGTCTGCCTAACTAGTTTGGCTGGTGTTCTCAGAGTGTGGCTGGGCAGCCTCTGCTCAGTTCCTTAGCTAGGCTTCCTCTCTCATCTCTAACTGCCTATACTGCCTTTTTCTTACCATTGTACTTTCTGTTTCTTTTCTTTTGTCTTTTGAGCTACTATAAAGGTTTAAAGACAAATGTTTTACCTTGCCCCTACATCCTAAAGTACCTTATTCTAGATGTCCTCCACTTCTTGTAAACACATACTTTCAAAAATACCTTAGTTATTCATAGTCCTACCCATTGACATAGTGCAGTCTCCTAACGGGAGTCCCTTTTTAGACAGAAAACACACATGTGCTGGTTAAAGACAGCCACCAACTAGTGCATGTCACAGCACCATTATCTCCTTCTGTTAAAATTTTTGAACCCTACTTTTTGTCTTTTTTTATTTAGAAAAAAATTTTTTTTTTATTGTACTTCCAAATTATTCCATCACAATTGTCTTCAACTCACTGTCCCTTAGGCTTCCCATCAAACCTTTTGAGTTGCTGTTGTCAATTTGATCTCACATAGATAATTCTTTTTTTGTTGCTGTTGTATTTTAGATGAAGGTTTACAGAACAAAATAGTTTCTCATTAAACAGTACACATATTGCCCTATGACAATGGTTAAGAACCCCACTACATGTCAACACTGTCCTT